GCTGGTCCAGATGTGATCAGCTGGTCCAGATGCGATCAGCTGGTCCATATGTGATCAGCTGGTCCAGATGTGATCAGCTGGTCCAGATGTGATCAGCAGGTCCATATGTGATCAGCTGGTCCAGATGTGATCAGCGGGTCCAGATGTGATCAGCGGGTCCAGATGTGATCAGCTGGTCCAGATGTGATCAGCTGGTCCGAGTGTGATCAGCTGGTCCAGATGTGCCACGTCAAGATGATTTCTGGATGCTGTTTGGATATGATTCATTAAACTAACTCCTCTTTCACAATCTGCCCTGGAAGCTTGAGATGTAGCACAAACCTCCACACGCTGTGACGTCTAGCTCCTCATCATGTCCAAGAACGTGCCGATTGACCCGTTTCAGGTTTTGCTTCATTATGAACTTGAATTCAGCATACTGACTGTTCATGGCCTCCACACACTGGGGCTGGTGGAGAATGGCCTCGTACTTTTAGTGTCTGCTGATCCAAAGTTCAGGCTCATGTCTGAGCTCGGTGCTTCAGTCAACTGCAGACCACTCGCTCCTTTAGTTCATCCTGTGGAACACGAGCGTCCATGTGATCACAGAACTTACTGATCAGAGTCATGTCAGCAGCACGTCTGCCATCAGCTGGTGAGGTCCCTGCTGTTTCTTTACACGCTCACTCCACTCTACATCCAAAACTTGTTGCTACTTTGGCTTCGCTGCGTGTTTTCAGAGCAGACCTTTCTCACTCGAAACATAAAAAATCTCATCCAGCTTCAGCGTTTGTTCTTGTGTTTGCACGTACTCTGACAGACTTTACATCTTAAAAGAACCACGTGTCTTTTTTACTTTGGCTTGATGAGTGGATGCGTCACTGTCCGTTGGTTTCACCATGATACAGGTTTAGCATTACGTCTCTTAACTCCGCCTCCATGTTCTTACCTGGCTAACATAGCTAACTGCTAACATATGTGCCATAACCTTGTGTTGTGCAAGTTGTGACACATACCTGACGATGCGTACGGGCAGGGAACTAGCGTAATGCAACCAACGTAACGCAACTAACACACGCACTGTCGATGCGATGACTGTCTTTGGCTGCGTGGCGTGCGTGAACGTCTCAGATTTTATGTGCTGCATAGATCTGGTTGTGCGCAGAGAATGTGCGAGCACTGGACTGAGCAGGCGCACAGCTTGGAGGGAACACTGCCCTCCGCCACACCGCACTTTTACACTCACTCCATCGTAAAATAAAATTATAATTAATATAATATTCTTATATAATATAATTATATTATAATCCAGTGCTGGAGTGGAACTGGTTCCGTCCCAGTCCATCAGGCCTCAGCTCATATTTAAAAGCAGACTTGTCCTCAGGAAGTCCTCCTGGGTTGTAGAAGTGGTTCAAGCTGCAGCTGAACTCGTGTTCGATGGAAACACCTGATCTGAGAATCACCAACCTGAGAGTCCAGGTCCTCCCCCTTCATGCACAGATTGGCGTCGATGACGTTGAGCCCAACAAGCAGCCCGGCGATGACGGCGCCCTCCTCTTCCATCATCAGAGCGTTCGGCTCATAAAACTCACTGCAGAGGAGACAGGAGGAGGCAGGAGACAGGAGACAGGAGGAGGCAGGAGGAGGCAGGAGACAGGAGGAGGCAGGAGGAGGCAGGAGACAGGAGG